AAAAAATTGCATTTGAATGCAAAACCGGTGCAATCGAATGTTATGTGCGTCCGGGAGCCTTGTCAGTGGCGCACGAGATGTGGTTATAATGATGTAAGTGACGTTGTCGCATTTTAATGTTTTGTTTGTCTAGCCCACGAGATGCGCGCTGCTGCGTTATACATTCAAAATATTAGAGAAATATAGTAGCTCAATGCGGAGAAGATCTTAACAATTAGGTTAAAACCGAAACCAAGCCATTCACACAGAACGCATATTCAGCACATTTTTTAGACGGACAAATATGACTGTTGCACTCGCATCTCACACAAGAGATGTAGCCATGCAAAGTTAAAAAAAATTTTTAACTTTTAGAAAACGTCGCGAATTTGTGAAGGTTTATTCCATTTCACTGCGTCTCTTATGTTTTTAAATGCAATCTGTGTGAATGGAGCTCTTTGTTAAGCAATGCATGATGCTCTTTTGTTCATAATTGTTTATGCAATTTACGAAATTATATTTGATTTTTAACTTATTTAATCTGCATATAAAACATAAGAAAAGGAGATATTTTTAAAATTTTATTTTGTGTTTGACTTAAAGCAAAACAAAAAAATATTTGTTGTCTTAATAAATTGGGTAAATTCAAAATACAGTGGTTAAATTGTTTTTTTAAATTCTATTGCTGTTTTAAAAAGGGTTATAAAAATGTCAATAATTATCGATACCGAACGATATGAAACATTATATTGATACATTTTTTAGCTATTTCGCCCAGCCCTATAGTCAACATCCTATTTTTTATTTTATTTTTATTATAATTATTGTCTGTAAGGATCAAAAGAAAGCATGACCACAGATCAAAATGATAGGAACTACCATATTATGCAGAACTGCCATGCACTCACATGGGACACCATACCCTTCATTAAAACTGACATCACACAAGGAGGGAGGGAGATTTTGGGTGCTGCTGGAGAAGCAAATTTGGTATAAATAGCAGAATCCACTCCTGTGAACAGGACTTCCACGGTCTGACTGGAAACTTACAAATATACAGATTGGCCAGGACAGCAGCCCAACCACCTCTGACTTCTGGAGCTCCAGCCTGCTGGTGGGTACAGCTGTTCTATGGCCCTCTGCTCCAGCTTAATGCTGGTGGGGAAGCATGTGGTACTGCTGGAACGGGTGGGAGAAGATGATCTTTTAGATGCTACTTTGTATCTGTGTCAGTGAGTTCCTGGGCCATGTTTATTAAGTATGTAATTTGAAAGGGGAGGCTTTCTGGGTGATTAGACATGCATCTGATGCTTTTTTTTTTTTAGTAATTTGGTTTTTATGTTGATTTTATGCAGCATGTTTGGATATATTGAAATTGCACTCTTGTTAATAATACCCATTTCTAAGTGTTATGAGAGGGAGATGTTTGTCCTCTAATTTCTTTGTCACTTATTCATTATTGTTTTTATTTCATAATTTCTTTACAGGCTTAGCTTCAGAAAATGGACCTGAGAGTAACAAGCATTCTTCTTCTTCTTGTGGTACTGGCTGAGGCCACCCCTGACAGATACTATCATGTGAAGAAACAGTCTTATCCTACAAAATCTCACAGTGAGTTTAATTTTGGTGTATATATACCTAATGTATTTCATCACTGTAATGTTCCGTCATGTGAAATAGTCAGAATATTTATAACAGTAGGATAACAGTAGCAGGTGCAACATTAAGAGACACTACTCTAGGGGAGATTGCCTTGCCAAAAAGATACATGCATACATACAGTAGACTGAAAAATTATTTTAGCCTCTTTGCCACGAGGGTATCTCAGTTGCTCAGATAATTTGCATGTACACAAATCTGGATCTATGATCGGGGTCTACATTCAAGAAATATATCAAACATCACTTTATCCAACTCTTCTATAATTGCCAAACTGCATGCAATGCCCAGAATATATTAACTTTACCAAAGGAAGAAATAGTGTTTGTGTCCTTACATAATTACAAATTACAAATACTGTTAGTTTATTACTCTTCAGTTGGTATACACCACAGAATATACGATCTACTACTTTAGAACATTGTAAAATCTCCAAAACAGATGTAACCACATTATACAACAGGCGTGCCCAAACTAAGCCACATTGTGGTGTTAAATTATACCATTAGTTTCTGGACAAGCACGCTTTCAAACTGAAAAAAGGGCTATTCCCTGTGTTTTCTATGGTGGTCAACAATCCAATCCACCCCCTATGAATACATATAATTAATTAAACGGCATATTTCATTCTAAAACATAATTGTGCAGGTGATTTTATATAATAATAATCATCATAATACACATACATAGAACACATTTAAAAGTTAACGTTCAGCTCAAGAACAAGCAGCTGCTGACCACAGTATCACTTCTAGTTTAGGATGTCTCTTGTCAATTACTGTCTAACCAAAGGGTATAACAACTTATAAACATTATAACACACACCTTTTTCCCTATATTAGTGAGGACTAATATAATCTCAAAAGACTTCCATTGTTTTTATATCAGGTTAATATTTTCTATCACCTTACTCTACCCCTGCCCCTAAAAACAACCCTCACAGAAATTTGTGCAGAACACTAGATATTTAAATAGTAACATTATTTGGCTGAGTTATAAGCCCTTTTAACTAGTGAGGTCCAGCTTACTAGTCGGTGTTCAGCAGGTTTCACTATATTAGTGAGAGCATTTTCGAATAGTGAGGACATTTTACAAACCTGTACACACACACACACACACACACACACACACACACACATTAAGGCCATTTAAAATAAACGTTATTCCAATGTGTTTCTTTATTCTAATATATTTATTTTTTGTCTACACGTGACTAAATCACCAGTGAGATGAAAAAATTGACCATCTGACAGAAAATGGACCAACTGATCGATCTCTTATTAAGAACGTCAAGCATGAAATTTTAGCTTGTCAATTCTCAGAGGTTTAAATTATCACCATGTTATTGAGCCAAGTGTGTATGTTAAGGAATGTCTTACAAGCGATTTAAGAATTTTTTTTAAAATTTATATTCTTAATTTAAGTAATGTAAGATTTTGTCTAAATTGCATTACATTTTTATCTTATTTTTAGCGGTTGCTGGTGAACCTGGTATTCCAGGTGCCCCAGGTGAACCTGGCCACCCCGGTCTACCTGGCCCACCAGGAATTCCTGGAAAGAATGGAGTTGGACACCCTGGTTCAATTGGTCCACCTGGACCACCAGGTCCAGCAGGCTACTCCTCACCAGGTAAACCTGGAAGCCCAGGTTCACCTGGAAAACCAGGCACACCTGGATTTCCAGGCGATAAGGGACATCCAGGGCCTGCAGGACCTCAAGGTGCAAGAGGAGCGCCAGGATCACCTGGAAGCCCTGGACCTGCTGGCATTTCTTCTCCTGGAAAGTCTGGACCACACGGTCTTCCAGGAGCAATGGGCCCACGTGGAGAACCTGGCCTAAAGGGTCATCCTGGAATTTCTGGACTGCCAGGCCAGAAAGGAGAACCTGGCCACGGCATCCCAGGAGCACCTGGTGGCCCAGGTTCAATGGGCCCTCAGGGGCATCCTGGTCAGCCAGGTCAGCCTGGAATTGGAAAACCTGGACCAAGTGGATTTCCTGGAGAGCCTGGAAAGCCAGGAATGCCAGGTAGGGATGGGTCACCAGGTTCTATGGGCATAACAGGCCCAAAGGGTCATACAGGGGCACCTGGAATAGGAGCACCAGGAAAACCAGGCCAGAATGGCGCTCCAGGTATGCCTGGGTCAATGGGACAAAAAGGTCCTCAAGGACCAGCAGGACAGCCGGGCGCTCCAGGTCTGCCAGGTACTGGCAAACCTGGATCACCTGGACTTCCAGGAGAAAGGGGAGTGTCTGGAACCTCAGGTACAACAGGCCAAAAGGGAGAACCAGGGCCAATGGGTCATACAGGTCATCCAGGTGCTATTGGCCCAATAGGTCCATCAGGTCCTCAGGGTGCTAGGGGATTCCAGGGAGAACACGGTCCACAGGGAGCTAAAGGTGATATTGGTTTGGTTGGAGCTCCAGGCTCAAGAGGGGCAAAGGGTGAGCAAGGTGCACAAGGCTTCTCAGGAACATCTGGTGTTCCAGGTGCAGCAGGTCCACCAGGTCCAATAGGTCATATGGGGCATCAGGGTCCCAAGGGTGAACCAGGATTTACCGGTGCACCAGGCATCCCAGGTAGCAAGGGGCCACCAGGAGAAAAGGGACATCCAGGATTTCAAGGGCCATCAGGTGCAAGGGGTGAAAATGGCATCCCTGGAGCAAGAGGACCAACAGGCCCAGTAGGACCTGCTGGTCCATCAGGGCTTAAGGGTCATCCAGGACTTCCAGGCCCCCCTGGCCCAGCAGGGCTCACAGCCAAGGGAATTTCTGGACCTCAGGGTCCTCCTGGAAATCCTGGTGCCAGAGGTCATGATGGTCTCCCAGGTCAACCAGGACCTCCTGGGCCACCTGGACCCCCCGGCGAGATTGTTTATCACCACGAAAAAAGCATGCCAATTAAATCCCATGAGATGGTAATGCCTGTTAGTCACGAGCTGATGAAGGCACCCATGTCAGCATTCACAGCTCTTCTTACCACAGCTTATCCTAATGGTGGAACACCAATTGTATTCAACCAGGTTGTTTACAACGGAGAGAACCACTATGATCCTAACACTGGCATATTCACCTGTCAGGTTCCAGGACTTTACTACTTTTCTTTCCATATGCATGTCAATGGAGCAAATGCATTGGTAGCACTTTACAAAAACAGAGAGCCAGTCATGTTCTCGTATGATGAGTACAACAAAGGTTTCCTTGACCAGATGTCTGGCAGTACTGTCCTCATGCTGCAATCCCACGACACAGTGTACATCCAGGTTCCAGATGACCAGTCCAATGGCATTTATGCTGATGATAATGTTCACTGTTCTTTCTCTGGCTTTTTGATTGCCTCAACGTGATAAACACACTTGAGAAAACCTCAATCTTTCTATTTCAAAAATGGTCTGCCTTCATACTCATTTTCTCATTGCCCCAAGAGTCATGCAGAATGAAAAAGGATGACTAATTTAGAAAACCTGTCTGTAGCCTTGTTGATTTACATAAGACCTATTTGTATGGAAATATTTTGATAATCTCAATTATTATGGAAAACTAAGAAACATTATCCAAGAAATTAGACAACAGACCTGTTGCATTTGCCTAAAACCTGAACTGATGGTTATGTATTAAAATGGTGCTACGCGTTTGCCTTTTTCCTGTGCTCACATTTTAACAAAAGGTTCCTGTGTTTAGTATGCTTAGAAGAGACATTAAGTAAGCCAGGTTTTTAAATAAATGGATTTCAAAGTGAATAATAATAATAATAATAATAATAGTATGTTTTTTGTTCATTTAACTCTGTAATATCTCACAAGGTGTGCATTATAATAACCAACACAAATAAAGTTTTAGTGCCAGTGCTGCTGTTTGTTTATGACTGTGGTAAAAGGTTAATATTTTCCAAAGGGAAGTGCTCAGTACAAAGACCTTTACTTTTTCATCCTGAAAGATATCTTACCCTGACTTCAAACTTTGTAATCATCTTAGGCTAACTAATAATAAACATTCAAAATATTATGTAGATAGGTCAAAGACTGTGTCCTGTCCCAGTTTGATAAACAATCATTGGATTTTTACAGCCATTATATAATATCAGAATTAAAATACACTTTGAAATGCTAGTCATAAACAGTGTATACGAATTATAAGAGGGTTATTTCTACATACCCCGAAATGCAGATGTGTTGTAATTATGGTCAATGGCAGCAACAATGTCTTTCCAAATGTCAGATGTGATTTCAGCTCCACGCTAGGATTAAAAAAATTATATGTGAAAATATTAACATGTGACAACATATGTTTTGTCAAGTAACCATTCACCCTTACAGCTAATTAACAAATGCTACTTATGATCTACAACAGAAATATACCTTATTTGAAAAGCATTGATTTATTTTTACCTTATTCAACATATCCACCACTCTGGCACAGAGAAGAGCACCAGGGAGGTCAAAATAGTTGTCATAAAAATAGTATTTTGCTGCAACAAATGAGTGCACTTAATCACATATTTAAGCAAGGACAGTATTTTGATAATATGATCAAATGGTAAACAATAAAATTGTACAAAAATAAATACCACATCACAAAAAATAAATCAGCAGATTAAAAAAAACTTACGAGTGTTAAATGGTCATCAGAAATTATAAAATGAACTTCAAGAACACATCCTTACCAGATCGTGTATACGAGGTATTGAGGCTATTAAAATGCTTCCATTCTCTTTTTGGACCGTAATGCTTTATGATGTCATCAGTACTAAGATTTTTAGTGCCATGAGTTGCTCTACAAATGAATAAGTTTTAAATAGATTAACAGCTTAATATACCAGGTTAAGAGAAGTTTATATATTTCTTTGCGTACAATTAATCTTTTTTCAGAAAAAGGAGATATAAAATGTACTGCCGAGTAATCATTTACACACTTTTAAGTCATACTGAAATTGACTCACCGCAAGACAGTACCGTCCTCTGCCAACTTGATCAGGTTGCCCTCCTCAAGGTCCACCACAAGACCTTTAAAACTGGTCACATGACAACAAGCAACTGTGTTTGTGTATTAGAGAGACAAACAGGCTCATACTAGGATAACAACTTATTTCTTTGTTAAGAAAAAACATTTGAAAACATTATAGATATATCAATCAATAGTTTTATTTCGGTCCTCACAGACAGCTTTTCACAAAATAAATAAATAAACATAATTACCGAAAAAGGTGTAGGCTGAAGCCTTGCTTATTATGCCTACCCTTTATACATAATTAACTGATGAACGACACTTTTCACTAAGAAATACAAGATAAACATGTTACATAAACATTACCCCATATGTACATACATAATTCAAAACAACATAACAAAAATACACATTACAACTATTACTTCAATATTGTAACAATACATTCACAATTATTGATACTGAGTCATATAATTATTTATCACCTTTGGATCTATGAGCGCACAATACAATATATATAAAGTTTTTTCATTCAAAATATGTTTTATTCTATTTAATATTGCAATGGATTTGGACATATATATACATATATATGGATATATACATATATATATATTGGATATATACATACCCAATTAATTTATTTTCATAATCTGTATTAGTGACAAGAATACTTGCTTGAAACAAGATTCAATTTGTTAATAAGTAGGGTTGGCAGTATGATGATATATAATCGTGGCGACAGTATAAAGTGTCTATCGTTCGAGATTTTGCTATATCGCGGTATGTAAATTTTCAATATAGCATGTGCATGATGTACTCAATATCCGTCATGTGGAGCCTAATAAACCTGCTGCTGCCTGTGTATTTTAATGTTAATTAAACAGCAAAATAAAGAAAAAAATCATTCACTGCTCTTGACTGAATAACTTTTGTATCGATCTCTAATAAGATTTAATTTATATTTAAATAATACAGTGAAAACTATGCAGAGTTTTATTTACATTGAATTATTCCATTTCTGTGGCATGTCTTACTAGATGTTAAATAAACCAATTGTACCTGAAAAACTTTTATTTCACTTTAAAACTTTAAACTTTACATTTATTTAATTTGTATCTTTGTTCTATTTTATTTGTCCTATTGTTTTTAATTAGCATATTTTAACAGAAAAAATTAAATAAATATATATGACTATATGCTATGTTTTTTTATGTATATTTATTTGTATCTTAAAAAAAAAACTAAAATTTATCAAGGAAAAAAAGCTGTTCGCACATCAACAAAGATCAGCTGCCTGTGTATTTTAATGTTAATTAAACAGCAAAATAAAGAAAAAAATCATTCACTGCTCTTGACTGAATAACTTTTGTATCGATCTCTAATAAGATTTAATTTATATTTAAATAATACAGTGAAAACTATGCAGAGTTTTATTTACATTGAATTATTCCATTTCTGTGGCATGTCTTACTAGATGTTAAATAAACCAATTGTACCTGAAAAACTTTTATTTCACTTTAAAACTTTAAACTTTACATTTATTTAATTTGTATCTTTGTTCTATTTTATTTGTCCTATTGTTTTTAATTAGCATATTTTAACAGAAAAAATTAAATAAATATATATGACTATATGCTATGTTTTTTTATGTATATTTATTTGTATCTTAAAAAAAAACTAAAATTTATCAAGGAAAAAAAGCTGTTCGCACATCAACAAAGATCAGAATCAGAATCAGAATCAGAATTAGCAAACACACAAGGAATTTGTTTTGGTTTTTTAGGAGCTCTTGGTACATACATACACACATATATGACATGAGAACAGAAAAGACAATTAAATAAGACTAAAGAAAAAAAAAATAATATGTTAAAATATGGAACAGAAGATTTATGAACAGATTTGTGCATTATTTACTGTACAGTTGTATAAATAAAAATATGCATATATATTTACATAATACTTGAAAGCAATTGCTGGAAATGGAGAAATAAATTACAGAAAACAGGTAATTCATTTCTGTGTTAGCTGTTTAAGATGGAGATGGCATGGGGGAAAAACTGTTTTTATGCCTAGATGTTCTAATGCACACTGCACAGAGATCTGTAATGACTGACTCTGCTTTCAAAATAGTGAATTTCGACAAAAGGCGAGCAGTTTGATTTCCTGGATGATGAGATTCAGGTCATGACCTTGTTGAACCATTAAAGATTTTATGAAGTTATGATTCTGAATTATGCTGTTAATCATAGGCGGAGCGTGTGTAAGGCTGGGGAAGGCTGGCCACGGAGACTTGGGGCAAAAATGCCACTAAATTGGATAAAAATGCCCCTGCACAAACAAATTAAATCTATTACGTATGTTGCTAACAAAGTGAATATGAATAGACAGTGTCGATTGCGGCATTATATTAAGATCTGCTCATGTTGCACTGTATTTCATTTTAGGCGTACTTTCTATATATAATTTATTCGCTGTTTGAATAACCGTGGAAAGTGGAAAGGAAACGTTACATAATTATCCATTTCTAACATTTTTATTAAATTGTAATCATGTTAAATACAAATTCAGTCCCATTCAACTTTTTTTTAGCCGACACCCATGTCTGGTTCTTGCCTAAAAAGACGGGTTTATGATGTTTAATACATTTGGCTGCTTTTAGCCTTACCCTGGAGTTGGTTCACCCTCCGCCTATGCTGTTAATAGTTATTTAATACTGTATAATAATTTAACTATTTATTAAAGAACGATTAACGGCACTAACTGCTACCATGGTTTTTCAGCATCAACATCTGCATTAGTTTGTTTTGAGTATATATGGGCATCGGTCACGATGAATGAATCTGTTTCCATGCAAGTATTCTCAATTTTATTAATAAAACTGTTATTAAAACTCACCAGAAGTCCCAAGTAGCGGGTGTTAAAAGAAGCAGATCTTTATCATAGCCCTTATGTTCCACCAGATACCGTGCAAAACTCTCATAGATCAGCTGCACAGAAACAGAAGAAGAAATAAATGTAAGTACTAAGTGGAGGTACAGTGCAGTGACATGAAGATGTCAGGCCTAACCATTAATGAAGCTTCATCTCGAGCTAGGCTTTATCTAGCTGCCCATAAACTACACGTCAGATGAAATCAGCGCAAATGGGGTTTGCATGAACATCCTCCTGGAATGACAGATAAAGGAGACACACCTCTCGCATTCTCAATGTGTTCTCACAAGGCCTGCCGAATAGATCGATCTTTTAGATTAGCGCATCAACATTGTTCCGCTTCAGGTCCATTGATGTAAAGCAGACAGAACCAATCGTGTATTTCTGATTTATCATAACCATTGTGTAAGTGTTCGCGCCGTGTAAGCCCTATTATAATGCGTTTGAGGTCGGTTGTGTCATGATATGCATATGATGCCAGTGCGACTCACCCTGGAGGTCTCCTTCAAATTGTATCGACAGAGCGTGTGGTCCAAATCAAAGCCAATTACATCACACTCCGACAGCGAGAAGTATTCACTCATTGTATAGCCTTTGGAAGGACTGGGAGATGTGAACTGTAAAGACTACAGAATCGTAATAGCTTGCAGTGACAGCGATGACTTCAAGCTGTCGATGCAGCTCGCTCGGTGGTCTCTTCTGCAACACGTGGGGTAGCGGCGACAACAATGTCACAAAAGACTCCAAGCCGCGTTTCTACGGAGACGGTTACAGCGAAAGCGCAGTCATCCACAGAACGTGTTTCGGCATTTCACGCGGAAATACTACGGTGCCGGTTATAGCACTGAATATGAACAACACGGATCTTTGTATCATACTTGTACGAACGTAAGAATATCTGAATATTCGCGCATTTCCGGGTGCTGTTACCGTAATAACGCAAAGAAAAGGGACAGGAACAGGGGTCACTTTTAATTATTGAACATTGTCATGCCTGGGTGACGCTGCAAATCATTATTCTCACTAATAAAGTTTTCCAGTCATCGATTACAAAAACAAAGTGCGTGTAGGCTATGTGTGTGTGTGTGTGTGTGCGCGCGCGCGTTTCTCTTTATAATCAAAGATTCCATTATCATGTTTTTGTAATTTTTTGAATAAACAACTATGGGTGTTTTTACCATGTTTGTTGGAAAAAATGGTTTGATAATTTTTGTATATTTTCACTGCTCCATGAATTGTTTTGATTCAATTTTTAGTTGAATACAGGTAAACCCTATAGCAGAAATCATGGAGACGTCTGTTTGATGTCTGCATTTACATCTGCAAGACGTAGGCTTATTTTTTAGAGTGCTTGCTCATCTGCAATACGTCTATAGCACGTTTCCTATCAGGTGTCAAATAGACGTTTAGAAGATGTCTTGGTAACACTTTAGAATAATGGTCCGTTGTTAACAAGTAACTATGCAGGAAGTAATAGGTAGTACTACATTAACACTTAACTTAATACTATTAACTAATAGAGAAGCAAGATTAAAGGGGTCATATGATGCGATTTCAAGTTTTGCTTTCTCTTTGGAGTGTTACAAGCTGATTGTGCATAGATAAGATCCCTGAAGTTGCAAAGACTAAAGTCTCAAAACCAAAGAGATATTCTTTATCAAAGTTAAGACTCTGCCAATGGAACCTCAAGGTTGATCTAGGAAAATGTGTGCAAATGTATAGGGCCCCATTCCTATGTTTTGCCTGGGGCCCCCAATTCACTAAATCCGCCCCTGCTTGAATATAAATAATGATGTTCTCTTGACAAAAACAATTCCCATCCTTAATGAAGTCATCGACTGCATTTATATTGTGTTAAGAACAAAACCGCAGATTACAGATTACAGTGTCTGGTAAAATATCACTAGAGCCTCACACAAATGTATGTGTCAGATATAAAATATGTTAAATAACTTATTAAATTACTTAGTAATTACTGAGTGGTTAAGGTGTTTTTCACTTTAAAATAATGGTCCAGATCACTAGTAGTTCCTGCAGGCTGACAAGGTAACGCTTGAGTAATTTTTAATAATTATCAAATATCTAAGAGGGAATTCCCTTTGTCCTAAATTTGCTACTAACTGCTTAGTTAATCTTGCTTCTCTATTAGTTAATAGTATTAAGTTAAGTGTTAATGTAGTACTACCTATTACTTCCTGCATAGTTACTTGTTAACAACGGACCATTATGATTTAGAATGTATGTAAAACTGATGTCTGAAAGATGTCTATCAGATTGTACACAACAGATGCTTTCCAGATGATGTGATGGTTAACAGACATTTTGCAGACACGTGTGCTATCTGGAACCGTGTGGTAACTGTAGGCTATTCCCCCAGCTATTCCAGCTATTTTTACTTGTACAAAACAGCTTGTTTTGCTGCTTGATATTGCAAACTGGTGTGTCTTACCATATTATTTTAATGTATTATCTTCCCACATAGCAATTGTCATCTGGCCCAGCTCTGGGCCAAACAACCAGTTACACTCGGCCCACATGCAGCAAAGAATTACGGCCTTTGTTTGGGCCAGATCTGGACTAGACATGAGCCATAACTGGTCCAAATCTCAGCCAAATAATAACTTATAACCAGCCCTGAACTGGGCCAGAACAAGTTTTAATAGTGCTAGCCAAACTCAGCCTTCAGTAAACCATACAGAGAACAGTCTTTAACCAGAAACCCCAAAACTGAGCCATAAAAAAGCCAAAAAAAAACAACAACTCAGCCACGGATCCATCAATAGGCAGTAAAACACACAGTCACACCTTCAGACAGTTAAGCATCTGTAATCACACATCTTTAGATTGTGAGTGATACTAGATCGGAAAGAAAGACTCCCTGGCTCAGCTGGGTCTCGAACCAGAGACCTTCTTGCTGTGAGGAGACAGCATTTCCAACTGAGCCACTTATGCTGCACTTAGCTACAGACATAACATATTGACACTTGTGGAATAATAATAAACAAAAAATTACAAAACTTTTTTCATGATTGTATATATAAAATAAAATAATAATATTAATAAAAAAAACATTTACCGATACAAAACTCTGTTTGGATAGATGCTGATTTTGGGAAACGCACCCCAGACTGACTTTATTTCTGTCAGACATCTAGGGAGTTTAATGTGTCAATGGGGGGGAAGATATCATAGAACATGTGACAAAACTGAGAGTGCTGCAGAGAATAAGTTCCATCAGAGGGCACCGGTGAGCCACAAATGCAGCAAACAGCTACTTATTGCAAATTTGACAGTGACAAGTGACAAGTGTCACAAATATGGGAAAGTATGAGAACATAAAGAGTCATACATAAAGCCATCTGTGTTAACCAAGGGCAGATAAGAGAACTCATCTGTTGCCTACCGTGCCACATGTCAACTTTGTATGACCAAATTGGAACAGTAAATTAATCTTATTACACAGAAAATCCCTCAAAAAACAGTCTAAAACTGCTTAAATCTTAAATAGCTTTTACATATTTTTCAAATTACACTTTAAATGTCTGTTTGTGTGCTAAACATGCTGTTAACGTCCCCATAAAGTCTCTACAATATCACTGCAAATTGTAATACATTTATTTTAACTGATAGCTAATAATTTCTGAGTTAATAAAGTTTAATACAACGTTGTATAGATAACTTGTGTTTGTATAGGAAACCAGAAAATGTCAGTATTAGTATAAATTAAAATTAGTTCAGCAATCCAGAGTCCAGAATACTGCTGTCACTAAATAAATCAAGTTAAACAGAAGTTGTGGCCTAATGGTTAGAGAGATGGACTCGTAACCCAAAGGTTGTGGGTTCGAGTCTCGTGCCGGCAGGGATTATAGGTGGGGGAGTGAATGTACAGCGCTCTCTTCCACCTTCAATACCACGACTGAGGTGCCCTTGAGCAAGGCACCGAACCCCCAACTGCTCCCCGGGCGCCGCAGCAAAAAAATTGCTGCCCACTGCTCCGGGTGTGTGTTCACGGTGTGTGTGTGTGCGCACTTTGGATGGGATAAATGCAGAGCACTAATTCTGAGTATGGGTCACCATACTTGGCCACATGTCACGTCACTTACTCTCAGTCACAAGTAGACCTACCACTGACTCTCAGAGGGCATTTCAGTCTCACAGAGCTTTGCTTCAGGAGAGGAGCAAGCGATGATCACAGGTGAGATAATGAGCTGATCATCTTGAAAGACTTAGCTGAACAGTCACAAGGTTTCTTTGCAGGGTGAGGCTGAGACAACGTGCTGGGAGGAAGACAGAAGATGATGGCAGATGACTGGGATGGATTAGACGAACAGGTAGAACATGAAGGTAGATCTGGATGATCTGGTGACTCTGTGACAGTAGCCAGATCTTTTTGTGAAAGCAGCTTATTTATATTACTTCGTATACTATTCCTTTGAGAGAACAAATAACTCATTTGTAGGCTACTATGGGTACTATGCTTTTGTTACCCAGGAATTCACAGGAATAAAGTGTAGCCTATTATTTTACAATATATTACTGTAGTCAGAAATTTACTGTGAAATCAATGCATGCTGGGTCATTTTCTTACAAATGACTGTGAATGAACAGCAGAATGATGCTAACATCACAGTAATTTACTGCTTTATAATTCACATTATAAAGTTGTCTTTAACTGTGCCACTGTGAGAAATGTAGTTGTTTACTACTGTAATTGTTTTGAAGACACCATAATGTTGATTAGTGATTAATATTTGTTTGGGATCTTGGACCTTGCATATTCATATTCAAATTTCTGATCTAGTCATGTCAGAAGTGTGACAAAAAAAAAAAGCATTTGTCAAAATGATGGCAAGCTAAAATATGAAATAAGCGAATTACTTGACTTTAAGTTAGTCGAAACATTCTTAACATTAACATGAATATTTTGTTTTAGCATTATTTAAGCATTAAGATTAATCAATAACTTATTTCATATTCATTACTGTTTGTGGATGAATCTTTCACAATAGTGAAGCAACTGCTGAGGAACGTCTTTGAAAGATGTGACATTAATACTCAACATACAAAGCACAACAGTGGTAACACTCAACAAATAAAAACAACACTTACAACATAAACCAACATTATAAAATAAACAATACAAACTGCTAAAAGTGAACCAAAAACAACTTTAATAGCACAAATAAAACCAAGAATTAAAAACTCTACAGCATGATCTATTCATGCTGCATTGCATGCTGGGTGCTTTCAGAGTACATCTGCACTGTAGAAACACAGTATGATGCTGTTTGTTCACAAGAAATTTCTGAGACTGCAGTTAGATACGAGAGAAATCCCACTGTGAAGTTACTGTGAAAGTGATGCAATTATTAACCTGGAATGTACTATAATTTCACACTAAAATTTTTAGTCTTAATGGTGTTGGGCCAATCGTCAACCTAACCGTCTACTTTTCAGCACAACGGTAACCCCAAAAACTCAGATACACCAAAAACCCTTTTAAATTCCAAAATAATCGAACATTAAACAGATCTCCACCTATATTAATATTGAGCAAAAACACATGAAATAACATTTAATTTGAACATTTACTCTCCTTTACTAGAAAGTCTAGAAAGACTGATGTAACTCATTCCGTGAATGTGTGTATATGTGTATACAAGTTTAATAAAAGTAAAGAAAAAACTTTGTAAATATTCATGAAGTTTTATATAACTTTATGAATATTACATGTAATGCTATTTTTGTCTTCATTTCTAAATATTTGTATTTGTATCAATATATATGGTCAATACATATATTGCAGTATATTGAAAAATATTAGCACTAGTTTCCCGTATATGGAAATGTACTAATATGTAATATTTTGCATTCTATTTTGCAGTATATTCCCACATTTTTGTTCCTAAGGATGACTCCATAAATTGATGTTGTTTCCCTAAAATGGTTTCCCTATATCTAATTCTCTTCCTTGTTTGTGTTACAAGAAATCACAGATTTTTAC